CAAAGGACCAGGGCATCGAATTTCATTATCCTCCAAAGGTCAAGCTCGGCACACAAACGGTGTCGAGAAGATCCACCCCGTCGGCTCCGTCGACGCTGTCGAGGAGCGCCTCCTCGAGGCCTGCTTCGACGACCTCAAGAAGAACATTGCCAAGGGTGTCGCCTTTGTCGCTTCCAACCCCCCCAAATAAGCGTCTCGCCCCCTCTTCCCTTGCCCCCTTTCGTCTTCCCTCCTCTTTATTTTCATGAAGTGAGGGCAGGCAACAGAGAGAGGGGCTGCTGTCGGTGTGCCGAGTGTAAAGATGGGATGGTCATAATGATATACGGACGGATCGGGAATGACGAACGGTGCGAAACCTGCTGATTCGAAGCAAATCGATCTTGCTCCCGTCCCCCGGCCGCCATTCCAAGAGCTGGATGGTCATGCCGGGGGAGGGAGAAAAAATAGTGGCAAGGGGGCGAAATCGCCTTGAACGGCTCTGCTTCTCCCTTTCTTCTTTTGAGCTCGACTTCGGGTCTGCTCGCTGTACCATAGTCTAACATGCTTCGTACCCTATCTTCTGACCCTATGACTTGCCCCGCTTGTGACATTTGATCATCCTGATGAAGACGGCCCTTGACGTTAGAAACGACATGGTCATACATCATTTCGAAACCACCGGATTGAACAAGCGGGATAGATCAATTAGAATGCCATGCATGTCTACTAACAACATCTACAGAAAAAAGGTCTATACACGGCCAGAGGGAGAACATCAGGCAGTGATGCCCTCTCCCATCATCTCCAGGGAGGGGGCGCACATGCACATGCGTCTACTGCGCCGGGCCACCGCGACGCCAGTTGGCCACCTGCTGCCGCCTGTCGGCAATCTGCTTCTCGAGCGCAGCAATCTTCTCCTCCTCGGCCTTCTCCTGCTCGGCGATGAGCTTCTGGATGGCCTCGGCTTTGCGCACCTTTTCGCGCTCGAGCTGGTCGGGCCGGCGGTCCGCAATGTCGCGGGGGCGGAAGTCGGAGAAGAGGCGTTTCAGGACGACCTCGATGGTCCAGCAGGCCGCGTAATCAAACACCATGACGGACGTCATGGTCGTCTTGAACTCATCGGTGAAGGGCACGAGCTTCATCTGCTCGTTAATCTCGGGCGCGAGCTCCATGGCGCAGGAGAAGGCGAGGGCCGAGACGCCGAGGATGCCCCAGAACATACCGCGGTTCTCGGAGAGGGACTCGCGGAAGGGACGGCCCTGGTAGTTGATGGCAAAGGTGCTGATCTGCTGGATGAGCTGCAGGAGGTAGACGGCACTGTTGAGCAGGCTGGCGAGAACTCGGCCTCGAGGTCAACGTTGTCGGAGCGACTGACGATTAGGTTAGCATTGTTCAACTGAGTCTGCCCAAAACGTAGTGAGAAACTTACGGCTCGAGACGGTCGCACAGACGGGCAACGTAGATGAGAGTCACAATGTGGATGGCGAATTGGCCCGAGATCGAGCCAATAA